TAGTGATATTTTAGGTGTTTTATTTTTCCAGTAGAAATGAGAGGTTAGTGAATCAAGTGATTTAAACCATTTTTCGGAGGGTGTTGTTGGAAGCATTGAGAATAGATAATTGACTTGTGGTAAGATTTTAATTTTAATTGTAGCAATGCGACCGATAAGTGATAGTGGTAGGTTAGTCCAGCGTTTTAGCTCATCTCCAATTTTTTTTTAAAAGTGGAATATAGTTAAGATTATTCAACTCTGACAGTCTGGAGGAAATGTTGATACCCAAGTAATGTTGCCAGTGTGTAGTGGAAGAGATGAATCATGAGTTGTGGGATCCCAGGCACCCTCAGAAAGTGGTAATATTGTTGATTTATTCCAGTTTATTGTATAATCAGAAATTTTTGAGAAGGTATTAATAATTTTAAAGGTTTCTTTTAATGACTTATAAGGGTTTTGTAAACATAACAATAAATCATCTGCATAAAGACAGATCTTATGTTGAGTGTTTACGTTTTGTATTCCTTTGATATTATCATTTTGTCGTATTGCTGCTGCAAGTGGCTCTATAAATATAGCAAATAAAGAAGGAGAGAGTGGGCATCCTTGTCTGGTTCCTCTGTGAAGCGTGAAATTTTGTGATGTGATCCCATTTGTTGTTATTGTGGCTCTAGGTGAAGTATATAATATTTTAATCCAGTGGATGAATGACTCTCCGAAACCAAATCTGTGTAGAGTGTTAAAAAGAAATGTCCAGTTAACTTTGTCAAATGCTTTTTCGGCGTCAAGTGATACAATTATAGTTTTGGTATGCTTTTGTTGTTGTTGGGCAAGGTTAATTAGGTTGAATAATCTGCGCATATTATCTGAAGCATTCCTGTGTTTAATAAAGCCTGTTTGGTCATGGTGAATTAACATCGGGATAACTGTTTCTATTCTAGTAGCTAATGCTTTGGTAATGATTTTTAAATCTGTGTTTATTAATGAGAGAGGGCGGTAACTAGACGGGTGCATTGGGTCTTTGTTTGGTTTTAGCAATAGTGTCATAACTGCCGTATTCATATTTCGTATCCGTATTTATAAGATTGACTGTGTTTATATCTTACACTATAATAAAATTAACTTTTTCTCCAGGTGAGGTAATGCACAATGAAAATAGGCACACATCTGGATGGAGACTATCTGATTCCTCAACCATGGCCTCAGCTTTAAATGTAAAGTATTGACTGTACATTTTTGCACATTTGATTATAAATACTGTCTGTATGCAAAGAATGAATCTTATGTTTTTGATAATATTTGGAATGTAATGTGAGTGTATTATTGTCACAAGACAGTTAATGTACTCTCTATAAGGCAGTTTTATATTGCTCTGTTCCAAGTCTCTAACCATACTCTAAAGATTACCAATTTTGTGATCACTTTTGTGTATTTTATTTTTCAATTTGTCTTTTAGGGTGACAACGAATAGCCATCTGTCAGACGTAGAATTCAGGAATCCTTCTCCAGGCCATCTGGCAGAACCGAAAGAGGCATGGCATTTTTCTTGTTTTATGTCCTTCACAAAGTTTTGTTTGTTTGTTTTGTAATGGTGTTTATTGATTAAGGTGTCTTTACTTACTTAAAATATTTTTCACCCATTTGTTTTTAATGTCTATAGTCACCAGTTCCAAATTCTGCATTATCATCCCAGTCCCAGAGGACACCCCATTGTATGTGAGAACTTAGCTATTTGCATCTTATTTTTTTACACAATTTACATTGAATACAAATAGAGAGCCTATGTCTGTCATTGCTCAAGAAAAAGCTAAAGTACAGCTAAAGTACAAGACAACAAAATTCTGATTTAATGGTCAATATACCTGCCTACAAGTTACAACTGCTGCTCTGTCTGCCAGCGTTTAAGTCATACGCATAATCTTCTAGACACCTCGCGCGTGCATAGACAATTCGTGCGCAACTGCGCCTAGTCACGGTATCGGTCGGTTTAAGTTGGAGAAAATAGCCCGCAGGAGAACTTATCCTTCAAGGTGTAAGGGTAGCAGTTTGAATAAATAATAAACATAGCAGTTTGAACTCTTCTCCACTTTATTATACCACACATCAGATCTCCAAACACCCGCGACACTCCAGTAGCCTAGCAAGTGCGCACGACCCATCTACGGCAAGCCCCGAGGGGAAAAATACATTGCATACACACATACAACGAGCGCCAGAACATCATAACCGGTATTATAGTAACAGACTGTGTTGATTATGTCATGTACTATATAACAAACTCTGTTACAATAATAATAATAACAATAATAAAGATTTTGAGGATAGTTACTCTGTATTGAGACAGTTGAGAAATAGGCTAGTAATATTTTTAGTTTTCAACAATAGCTGAGACCCAGAAAGTTTTTTTTTTTAATTTAGTTTTTTTTTCATGTCATCACATTGTTTAAAGCATAATAAACAAATGGTAAAAAAAAAAAAAAAAACCTTTTTGAAAAATTATATTTTATTCATATGTAATACTTTGTCCTCTGTAGTGGACACCAGGACTCAGTTGTTAAAATTAAATGACATACAATGTGTAGGCAAAAACAATGGGATTTTTTTTCCAATCACCAATACATTTTGGGGTTTCAGGATTTTTTTGAACTAAAATTTGTATAAAGATGATTATCAACTATGTTATGAAAGATATAATGGAATTAATTGATACACCAATTTACTTTATGCAATATATGGGTAAAATTGGCATAAATTAATATTCCCATTCAATGCAAAGTATCTATACACTGTATCTAATTTGCACATTAATGTGTTCTTGGAGCAACATTTAATGAGGAAAGAAGTGTAATTATTGGCGTAATAATAAGCAACATTTTAATAATAATATCTAATATGTCATAAGAATATTGACGTATAATTTATTTACATATTCACTTGTTATGTCTCCCAGAATGCCTGATAAACATGATTTATGTCCTGATGTTCTCTACAGTGGACATGAATGAAATCAATGCCCTGTAACGGAAAGTCATTTTTTTCATTTGAAACCCCATAACATTTTCATGAGATGTTGGTTGATGAAATACAATTTGAAAAGTAGTTAGATTTAAATTATAATTAAAATATATTACCATATTTCAATAAGAGTGCTACATTTGATCACTAAATTAATGTTAGACATTTTTAAAGACCAAGGAGAAGTTGTTTTCATGGTGAAACCTCCAAACATTTGGTATCTCTGTATTGCCCTGAATGTGCTCTTTACAGGACATCCAGAAAAAAAAATGTGACAGAATGTGGTGTCAGAGAAATACACTAAAATATAATGTCCACTACAGTGGACAAAAGTCTATTCCTGGGTCCCAGGAGGATAGGCCAAAGTATCATTGCTCTTACGTTTCTAATTTCTCAGTTTTGTCATAATTTTAGCAAATAATTTATTGTATATGTTTTGAGACAGTTTTAAGACTGTTTTCAAACTTTTTTATTTAAGTAGGCATCTATTTTTTTATGAATACATAACCTCAGTGTATTCATTTATAATGTATCATTTTTGCGTGACATTTATGTCAATAATCGTCAAACACAGGTGACTCCGCGTCGTGGGAGGGGCCCCCAAATCAAATTCTGCTTAGGGCCCCCAAAAGGCTCGGGCCGGCGCTGATTTATATTAATGATCTGCCTCAAGCATGTCCAGGTATAGATGTTATAATGTATGCAGATGATACTGTGCTTTTTACTCATGCAGGAACTAAAGAACTAGTCACAAAAAAAACTTTCATCTGCAATGGTGGAAGTCTCAAAATGGTTAAATGAGTCTTGTTTGTCTCTTAACATAAGTAAAACTGTATGCACGAAAACAAAACTCTGTGAATCCAGATATCATATTAAATGGTGAAGCAATTAAATTTGTGACGCATGTTAAATATTTAGGAATAATAATAGATCAACACCTGTCATTTAAAAAGCAAGTAAAAAGGGTTATAAATAATGTTAAATTCAATTTGAATAATTTTAAAAGCATCAGGCACCAGCTCTCTGAATCAGCTGCACTTCTTTTAGTAAATACTCTGATTTTACCTCACTTGTCGTATTGTATAACATGCTGATCGCAAGCAGATGCAACTACACTTAAACCTGTGCACTCCCTGCATAAACAAATCATGAAAGTGTTAGATAAAAAACCAAAGGACTTCCATCATTGTACGATTTTGCAAAAGTTGCAATTTTTAAATATGAATAATTTTGTGTTTTATACTGATGTGTGCCTGATGTACAAAATTATGCATAATCTTGCTCCACCCCCTCTTCAGGGATGTGTGACCCATAATGGAAATGCAGGTAGGACTAGAGCATCTGCCAGGGGAGATTTGGTACCACAGTACAGAAAAACAGCCTTTGGGCAAAAAGCTTTCTCAGTTAGAGTAGTGGGGTTGTTGAATTCCCTACCTACAAACATTCGCAGCCTGAATATGTAGTACTCCTGTTAAAGACAAGACAATGAAGAGAAGGACGCATTTGTGATTGCTTCTCGTCTCTGCATTTACTACTAATGGATAAAAGTACATGCATATTACAGCTGTAAACATTTTGCATAATCAGGGTTTACAATTGCCAAAGTGACACCCTAATAGATAACTTTTATATACAAACACTTTAACTTTAGCACATATCCCCTTTATCTAAACAATAATATGAGTGATGATGTAAAATACATTACGAATCCACTCCCTTTTCTCAATTTAGAACACATACAAGTCTGTTGTCTGCATGTTACATTGAATGCCAAGACACGTGAAATTCACTCAACTACAGTCACTAAAATGTAACACATTACACAGTTTACAGACATAACCGCCGATTAACGACCACGTTTATAAACTAAGAATGATTTATAACACTAGACAATATTACCCCTTATGGATTAGAACAGTTTTTATACTTAAATCAGTTATTTGGCGGACTTTTGGCGCTAATCGCGGAGCATTTATGCTAACCATGTGCTCGACGTGACAAACTCATATAACTCATTATTCCTATAGCAAAACAGCTGCGTTAAACACACGCACAACTCGTCCAATATTATTAACAGTGTGTTCATGCTTAAATCGGAGGTGTTATTTGCAGTTACCTGTTAAAGACAAGACAATGAAGAGAAGGACGCATTTGTGATTGCTTCTCGTCTCTGCATTTACTACTAATGGAGCATCACTGGCGCGACGCACGCGATGACATCATCACGCTGGTATGCCAAGCGGAATTATTTATATGAATAAATGCCCATAAAACACACTCCTTTTTAAGCATAAAGCACAGATAAACATTGTAACCATACTTAACAGTATTAGAGAATTAACAAGCAAAGAAAGGCCTATAGGACTCACTATTACACTCCCCCCTACAGGATAAAATGTCGTCTCGACATGTAAACACTTATGAGACAATAAACACATTCAACAATCCCTTTATATTTCCATAGATACTTATTATGCAATACTAATTAGTAGCGTTACTAAACAAATATCTGATTTCTGTATACATTGTCATTTTTTTTTACATTTTTTTTTCACATTCTCTCTTTTTCTCAGTCCATATCAATGGGATAGAAGATGGCGTAACAGTCCATTTGAAGCGTAGGCCGGCTTAACGTGGCTGTGTTCAGAGCCCTAAAACAGTCCATGTTATTTGTTCTCACACAAAAAATGGTAAAGAGATCTTCAAGGAAGAAAGAGATTCAAAAAATGTCAAAAAGAAAGTCTCAAAGTGATCCCAAGTGTCCACATTTTCAAAACTGTACAACAGTCCATTTTAGTCCATTTTTGCAATAGTTTCTCACTATGGGCAATAACAGTCTCTGAGTAATGTTCTGTATAGTGGCATTTCACACCTTAGACACAGGGACTAGTTATGGGGGTGAAATTCACGTGAGTGCAATTTAAAGTTAATAGCACACATATGACTGCTGGGGGCGACAAAGGGGTGTTGACCAGGGTGTCGCAGCGGTCAATCCACTAGATGCAAAGTGTGGGTAGTGGTTGTTGCCCACTATCTGCACAGTGTAGCATGATGGGGACCCAAGATTGTCATAGGTAAACTTTTTAGGCGGTCGTCGTTTCCTCCTGGTAAGCTGGTACCCGTTTTCCCCCTCAGAGGTCCTGTCTCTGGGCCAAGGCACTGCAGCTGTTTCCCTATCAGGTGAGTCTTGTTGCATTAGGTCAGCAGTTGGTTCATTTTCATGCGGTCCTTTTCTTACTTCAGGTACAGACTCTGGGAGGTCCATCTCTGACTCAGCTGGGAGTGACTGTGGCCTTGGTCCCACCACTGGAGAGTTAGATCGAGGCTCAGAAGGTACTAACTGTGGTGATATCGCATTTCTTTTTTCTAGGTAATCACTGCTTTCCTGTGGTCTCATCTGGAAGGGCTCCACTTGAAAGTAGTATTCATCCTCTTCGCTTTCATTATCGTCCTCTGACTCACATTCTCTTCCCCGGGCGGGCTTCAGCTGAGTCCCTCTGTTTCTTGGTTGCTGTCCTTGTTTTGGTTTAGTACTTGGGGCTGGTGTGATCTCTAGAGGTAGATGGTCACATGGAAGGAGAAGATTGCGATGTAAAACTCGTGATCTACCTTTACTCTGTTCAGGTTTTACTTCGTAGACTGGAGCGCCATCTGCCACCTGGCGTGTAACAACATGAACCTCATCCTCCCAGAAATTTCTCAGTTTCCCGGTCCCACCTCTTGGAGTCAGGTATTTTACGAGGACCCTGCTTCCTGGGAACAGGTCAGTACACCTCACTCGTTGGTCATAATTCCTTTTGTTTCTTTCTGCACACTTGTTTGCCTGTTCTCTCGCAATCTCACAAGCTTCCTGCATTCCTTTTGTCCATCTCTCCATGTACTCACTGTAACTTTGGCAGTTCTTGTCGGATTCAAGCCCGAAGAGAGCATCGATGGGCAACTTTGGTGAGCGTCCGAACAGCAATTGGAAAGGTGAGAAACCAGTCACGTCACATCTAGTACAGTTATAGGCAAAGATCAATTTGTTCAATGCATCTTTCCAATTAGCTTTTTGTCTTTCAGTCAGGGTTTTCAGCATCTGCAATAATGTCCGGTTAAACCGTTCCACCTGCCCATTCCCCTGGGGGTGGTAGGGGGTGGTCCTTGAGCCGGCAACGCCGCTGTACTTTTTGAGTTGGGTGAGTAGTTGATTTTCAAATTCTCCCCCTTGATCGTGGTGAATTTTAGATGGGAACCCAAACTTGAGGGCGAAATCATTGAATAACCGGTCAGCTACTGTTCTTGCTGATTTTGAGGTGGTGGCATACGCCTGGGCAAATCGAGTGAAGTGGTCGACGATTACCAAAATGTACTCATAGCCCCCTTTGCATTTGTCCAGATGGAGAAAATCAATGGACACCAATTCAAATGGGTGGGTCGTTTTGATATTTTTAAGAGGCGCTCTTGTCTCACGACAGGGTTTTTTCTGTTTGATACAGCAGCAGGTTCTCAGAACATAATTTTCAATGTCTTTCTGCATGTAGGGCCAAAAAAAAACGATCCCTAATGAGGCTTGTGGTGCGATCAAGTCCTTGATGACCCATCTCATCATGCATCTCTCTCAGAACAGTTCTTTGGAATTGTGTCGGTAACACCAGCTGTTTTCTTTGTGATGTCTGGCGGAACAGGATGCCATGTTCGTCTAACTTCAGCTTTTCCCACTCTCTCAGAAGAACTTTGGCTGGCGAGTTGACTGAACGCCACTGCTGAGGAGGTCTAGATCCTGCTTGTAAGTGTTCACTTATTACTCTGATGTCCTTGTCATCCTTTTGTGCTTGTCTGATTTCCTCTTTTGACAGTGGTTTGAGGTGTCCCTCATTTTTCTCCGCACTTGCCAGTACACTCTGACAGACTACCACGAAATTCACATCTGGATTCCCTTGGGACTCCACAGCTTGGATCACGGCTCCCACACAGTCAGGTGAAAACTGCTCAGTACATTCTCTCATCGTCGTTTCCAGATCCGCTGGCATCCTGGAGAGTGAGTCAGCATCTATGTTTTCTTTTCCTGGGCGGTAGCGGATGGTGAAGTGAAAATCTGCGAGCTCTGACACCCACCTACACCCGGTGGCGTTCAACTTTGCAGTGGTCAGGACATAGGTCAATGGATTATTATCACTGAAAACTGTGAAGGTTGGTGCATAGTACAGGTAGTCTCTGAACTTTTCAGTGATAGCCCATTTCAGAGCTAAGAATTCCAACTTCCCACTGTGCAGATGGTAATTTTTCTCAGCTGCCGTCAAAGTTCGAGAACCATAGGCAATTACTCTCAGCTTGCCATCCTGCTGCTGGTATAAAACAGCTCCCAACCCTTGGTTGGACGCATCCGTATGAAGGATGAACGGTTGAGAGAAGTCGGGGAATCCAAGGATCGGAGGTTGAGTCAAGCAGTTGATCAACCTTTCCAGTATCTCCTGATGTTTTTCTGTCCACTCAATTAGTTTACTCGATGGAACCACATGATTTCGTTTGTTATTTCTTGCTTTGTGTCTCTCCTTTCTCTGAGGTCCAGCACCTTCCGTGTTACTTTTTAGCAGGTCATAGAGGGGACTGGCAATTCTGGAAAAGTCTTTAATGTATTGCCGATAATAGCTGAGCAGGCCCAAAATCTTGCGTAGTTCCCCCACCGTGCTTGGTGTCTGTTCCTTCAGTGCCGTTACAGCGACGGTGTCTGCGGGATCAATACGACTGCCTTCAGCTGACACAATTCTCCCCAGATATCGCACCTCTTTCTTAAAGAGCTCGCACTTTCTTGGTTTTAACTTGACTCCACGGGACTGCAACCTCTGCAGTACTTTCCTCACCGCTTCCACTTGTTCATCGAAGGACTCAGTGAAGACTAGGATGTCGTCTAAGTACGGTATGCAAATTTTGTCTCTTAACCCCTCCAGGCTCTCTTCCATAAACCTTTGGAGCGCTGCAGGCGCATTCATAAGGCCGAAAGGAATACGAATCCATTCGTATAGTCCCCACGGGGTTGCGAATGCAGTCAGGTACTGGCTCTCTGGGGACATGAAACCTTGGTGGTAGGCCTTCCCTTGATCTAGCAGTGAAAACCACGCATTACCTCCCAGCCCGTCCAGGATATCCTGCACCCTGGGTATTGGCTGGCGATCAGGGATTGTTTTGCTGTTCAGATCCCTGTAATCGATACATAGCCTGAGGCTGCCATCCTTCTTACGGACGCAGACAATCGGGGACGAGTAAGGGGAATGAGACTTGGCCACCCACCCTTGAGCAATCAGGTCATGTAAGTAGTCCTTCATCTCTTGATATAAGGGTTTGGGGACTGATGTGTATGTGCGGGCAACAGGGGTGTTATCATTTAGTAAGACACTCAAATGCAAACCTGGGACACAGCCAATATCGTCATCTGACCTTGAAAAAACGTGACACTCTTCACGTAACATCCTCTTGACTTCTTGTTGTTGGGGCAGAGTTAAATGGCTCACATCCACTGGAGGGTCCCATCGATCTGTTTCGGGAGATGCCTCAGTGATCTCTGGTAGGACCTGTGTAACAGATGCTGTGGCTTCACACTGTGCATTTGATATTGGTAAAACAGATTTAACTGGCTGCAGAATTCCTAGCTCTGTTCTACCACCGAGCGTGATGTCGTGATCTGTTCCATTCTGCACATTCATAGTAATTATTGGGCGGGCCCCTTTTTCCAGAAGGAAGAGAGTGTCGAAGAGTTCAAGGCCATCTGGATACATCGGGTTAACGTGTGGCTCAAACAGTAGCACTGTATCTTGTTTCACGTGAGGCATTTTTACCAGACACTGAATTTGCATAATGGTGTGCTTCTCTATGTTCACAGGTTCCTTCCTGGTTCTTACTACGTACTCGCTGAGCCTCTCAGCAGTTACCAAATTGATGAAGGTATGTACACTTTTCTTCTTTATGCTAGGGAAAGCACTTCTGACAGTTTTGTACAGACAAGCATTAGTCACATCAAGGGGTCCACTTCCGCTTTGTCTCATTATTTGTTCTATCACGTTATACCCGACGATAGGTCTGGGCAATTCTTGGCCCTTCAAAACAAGCACAGGGATGTTTAACTCTTTCTCATTGGTTACAGGGGATGCCAGTTTGAAAGTCAACTCCACCCATCCACTGTATGGCATGTTTGTTCCATTTGCTGCCACCAGGCGTAGACTGTCTGGTGCTTCGGTCGCCTCGGAAATATTTCTCAATGTCACTTCAGGTGCATGTTTGGTTTTCCACTTCTCGTCTATGATGCATACTTGGGAGCCTGTATCCCATAATGCTTCAGTTTTTTTTCCCTGTAGATAACAAGTAACAAGGCACTGTTTTCCCACTAAGGACGTGATGGCAGAATGCTGGTTTACTTGACAAGGGGCAGTTAAAATACTATTAAGCGTACTATCAAGTGACTGGGACTCAAACTGTCTCTGATGGCCAGTGCTACATTGCTCATGTTTTGGGGACTTCTCTGCCGCTCGGGTCACACCCTGTCCCTTGGGGGTAACCCGCTCCTGTTTAACGGAGCTCCACGCTGAGGTCTGGCACCTTTAGTCTTACAGCCAGCTGAGAAGTGTTCGCTGCTTCCACAATGGTAACAATGGGTGCAAGGTTCCTCTGCGTTGCGCTGCTGGCAATGGAAACATTGTCTGGCTCGTGAAGGACGGGACTGGCGGAACGGATAAGGATGCGGTCGGGGTGGCTCCACATACTGCTGGGGGTGCTGTCGGGGTGGTTCCACATGCTGCTGTGGATAATACTGTGGTGCTGCAAAGTTTGACGGCTGAGTTACATAGTTGACGGACATGGGGTGCTGCTGAGAAGGATACATATACGGCTGTCCATGGTGCGTCTCTATCATTGAATAGTGTTGACGTGACTGGAGAGGATGTTCTGGTGGAACAGTGGACAACTGGACTGGGTTGGCAGGTGGGGGAGGTATTTTCTGTTCCCTCACCTGTTGTGGGCTTTGTGAAAACTGGTGTGGAGACATGTATGGGCTTCCCTGCCGTTGGTATGTAGTCGTCTCGGGTTTCCAGGTCTGATGCTCTCGGACTTGTGTCCATCCTGATGTCTGTTGGGACACTGCTGATGCTGGGTCTTTGTCGTAAACTGCAAAACACTGCTGAGGGACAGGTAAGGGTTGCTGGATAGACTCTTTAATCTGTATGATATCATCACTCAGGCTTTTTAGTTGTGACATTAAATCGAACTTTGACTGTTTGGACTGAAGCTTTTGTTCAGGGGCAGGCTCATTCAACTGTACAGCATGAACAGTACCACTTTTTTCAAATTTTCGCTTATTTTGTCTTTCAGATTCGTTGGAACAAGCTACATTGAGTTTCTCCAACAACAATTCGTCTGGAACAACGGGATCTGAAAGGTATGGTTGAAGGTGGCTTTGGATGCGGTCATTTTGTAGCCCAGTCAGGACGGTGTGCAAGAACATATTCTGAACTAGGGCGGGATCATATTTCAACCCGGAGTCATCCTCCTGAGAAGCGAACAGAATTTTCTGTCTCAGGTCAAGAGCTCGAATTAGGAAGCTTTGTGGGGTTTCTCTAGCGTGCTGAACTTCTTTGGTGAGCTGTTTATATAATTCAGTCGCATTTTTCTCCTGATAATGAGAACGAAGTATCCGCCTTAGCGTCGGGAGTGTCAGCCCCGCCTTCCCCTCAAGATAGCTCCGCAGCTGCAGCCCTGGTGTGATAGCCCTGATGACAGAATCTACTATTTCCTGTTCTGCATAGCCCTTCTTAAGTCCACCTTCTATCTGCCGTGCCAGACTGGAGAATGAGAGGCGGTCCTTCTGCCCTAGATCTCCTATTAGACCAGAGATTTTGAAGTCTTTCTGCCATGTCGCGTTCACTTGTCTCTGATATGTGGGTGAAGAGTAAGCTGGGTTCTGCACTGCATATTTCTGTCTGTCTGCTGTATTTTGTAATGCTGTCGGGCTAATATGCATGGTAGAAAACAAGTCAGCTGTACTCTCTCCACTTTCTGGTATTTTCCGGTGGGCTGTGTTAACATCTCCCAGTTCAATTTCCTCCCTCTCTGTTTCAGGAACCTTACTTGTTATTCCCGTGAGCTGGATCAGTTTGTCATTTATTGCTAACAATTCAGCCATACCGCCATCTTCTAAATCCTCTAGCTCAGCTCTCAGTAAATGGTTACTAAGGAGGCGCAACAGGAATAAACGAGTCACGTTTGCCTCATCTTCTCGTGTTAGGTGAAGAAAGACACTGAGTTTTGTCAGTTTTTCCAGTGATAGTGTGCATAATTTATCACAAATTTCCTCTTGAAGATGTTTAAACTCCTCCATTTCTGCTGCTATGTGGGCCGGCCAATGAGAGTGGTGTTTCACTTACTGACTTGACTTGACCGCCGCTGGCATCAGATCACTCCAGCGCACGCACTGCTCAATCAGATAACTTTTTTTTTTTCACCTGTCCTGAACGTCTCACACAGTCGCTCGTCTGGATCACTATAATGGGAATGATGTTGCTTAGTGGGCTCTGCCGGTCAGGGAGTCACTCCACCGAACATTCATCCCAGCGGGGCCTCCAAATTTGTAGTACTCCTGTTAAAGACAAGACAATGAAGAGAAGGACGCATTTGTGATTGCTTCTCGTCTCTGCATTTACTACTAATGGATAAAAGTACATGCATATTACAGCTGTAAACATTATGCATAATCAGGGTTTACAATTGCCAAAGTGACACCCTAATAGATAACTTTTATATACAAACACTTTAACTTTAGCACATATCCCCTTTATCTAAACAATAATATGAGTG